TATATAATTTTTCAAAATATTAATTGCGCGATGCGTTATGCTACTACGATTTCAGCCGAAGAGAGTGCGAAATCTCGCATGTAATTCGTTGTGAGCATCTTAGTGTCCGCTGATATGGGGATAGAAAATTCGTAAATGACTAGATTGCCGACTTAACTGGCGCGGCATGCGATAAAGCGATCGTGTGTGTACATGTATCCATATATACTATCATCATATTAAATATATATATTAAAAAAATAGTGACAGCGAGAGACAAAATCACGGATGGGATAAGAGTATTTCGTGTAGATTGTGAAAAAAAACGCAACGCAAAAAATTTTCCTAAACGAAGCCGACGAAAACGCTTACATGTATATACAACAACGATTACGGACGTAGAGTCTAGAAAAACAGTGAGATGATATTTACATTCATTGGCAGTATTGTTCCCGATTCGTGCGAGTCAAGGGCGTGGAGATCTTGAGGCGGATTCGAGTCTCGCTCGTCCGTCTCCTAATTCGCATCGTTCGTTCTCATACCCGGCGTGACGCGACTTCTCACTACGTTGCTCTTTAATTAGGCGAAAAGAAGATTCTACACTAGAGAGCATCAATATACAGTGTGAGATATCTACGAGACACCGTACGGAGGTCTTTACTTCGATATAAATAGGACACTCGCGTAATTGCACGCGCATTATACGCGAATGTGTGAGAGCAGGGGGGAAAAAAGTAATCGACGCGCGTGGTCTATTACCACGTTTTTGTCCTCCTTTGCTCCCATTTTTTTTTCTTTTTCTCTATTTCTCACTTTCTTTCGTTCCATTTTTCATTCTCTCTTTCCCTGTCGCACGCAGAAATAGTAAATTGGCACATCAGTGCGCGATGTCGAGCGTCGCGAGATGCGTAAATATGTCACGAGGAAAAATCTAGATAAATTTCCAACGAAATCTTCTATCATTCGATTCTCGCTATAAAAAGAATGCGCGTACTAATTATATGAGAGATACATATAGCTATGTCGAATAAATAAATATATATATATGTGTGTGTGTGTGTGTGTGTATGTGTATGTATGTGTGTATGATAATATATAATAGAGTCGGAAGAGATGAAGGGAAACTTGATGCCGTATCGTGTTCGCATTATTATTTCAGAACTCGAATCGTCAGATTGCACGAGTCCGATAATGCAAGGCGAGTATGGACATACGTCAATGTGTCCCTGGAATACAAGCCTCTTCTCCGCAGTATATCCGGATCGAGATAAAATTAAATGATTGAATGTAAATTGAAGTAACACATTCACTTTCGATGCATTAACGTTCGCGTAAGTGACACCCGACAGTCAGACCGGTGATGATAAGTTACGCAACAACAACCTCGCCAAAGGTATCATTACGTTAGTGTTATAATAATAATCCCGAGAACTTTGATTGCCGTGAGCAATTTTGTTCGAGTCATAAAAAAAATCCTACATGATTAAAATTTTAAACCAATGAATCATATAATAGCTGAAGGTGAAGCAGACACTCTTATATCATTTTTACTCAATTCGTAGAATTAGAAAAAAAATGAAAAAAATGAAGTTGAATCAGGAGATTAAAATTCTACATTGAGAAATTAATGCCCATTAATGAGCATTAATAAAAAATACAATCAAAGTCGTTCATTTTAAAATAAATACATGTGTCAAATAATAATACATAATTCGTTTATCATTCACATATAGCACTTCGTAGCATTTTCGTGCTTTCTTATGAAGAGGAAAAGACCTCAAGTAATGCATTTTATTATTCTCACGATGTTGAAGAACGATGCTTATGTGACTGTCAGGCAGAAACCGCATCGAGATGTAACGTGTCGTTGTGTAGCCTCTCACGGCGTCAATTGCGGATATATAATGCGAAGTGGCAACGAATAATTAATCGGAACATAAAGAACGATGTGAGCGCGTTCTTGCAGATAGGCTGGACCACGGAATGCATCTGTCGTTTAGTTGCACACGTGCTCCTCCCGCGTGTGCCGGCACATCTCGCACTTGACGTGACAGCACCAGACGAATCGGCACTTGCATTTCTCGGTGACATCCCGCACTCGCGTCTGGTAGCCCCGACCACAGCACAGCAGCCGGCATCCGTCGAGACCGAGGGACGTCCGATTACACACAGAACAAAAGTCGTGAAAATGTGAAAGCGCGTGATGATATAGCACGAAACAGGAGTCTTATTCTCGAAAAGATTTTTTTAAATAATTTTTTTTAAAAAGATTTAAATAAAAAATTTTGAAGATAAAGATTTTAAAACATTTTTAATTATAATTATTAAATACTCTTAAAATCATTCAATTTTTATTTCAATCATGTTTTTCTATGTTTTACAGTTTCGAAAAACAACCGATTTTCTTCAAAGGAATGTTGCAACCACTAAAAGTACGATTGAGCATTTATAAAAACAAAAAAAAATATCTTTATTTAGTCCAGAAAAAAAAACATTCAAAGCTCATCAAAATTGGAGAGGAACACTTTCATGGATTTTCTTGTAAGTCGAAAAAAATATTTTTGCGCAGCGCAAATTAGACCCACGTGAGATTCCTTTCGCAGTAATCGGGGCTGTCCTCGAGATAAACCAGATCCGTTTTGTTCGGCCGTTTAAGATCGGGACGTGCCGGTCTTAGCCTGGCCGGTCTTCTACCGCCGCGTTGCGCCAATCGCACCAGGGCGGCACCCTCGTGTAAAGCCGCCAAGGCGACACCGGCCACTCGGAATGATGGTAGTCTTCTCCAACACACACGAACGCTGCATGAGCCAGACATGCCTGTCGCAACAGAAGAAAGAAGATAAAAAGAAGAATTATTCAGCGAAACGCAAGATAAGGAAGTGGTATCAAACGGGAAATATTCATATTCCGTTTAACTTTGTAGGAAGCCACGATGTGTCTGACACTGAGAAAAAAAATGTTCATTTGACTAAATTAATTTAGTTATCTTTGTTACTTCCGTTGAAGAATGTATACACTTAAGTCAAACATAATTTGAGTTACATACATATATTCATCGAAAGACAAATTGAAATAATTTAATTAAAATGAATATTCTTTTCTTAGTACAAAGAGGTGAATGACTATCGAAGGATGTTTCCATTGCTCACCGTGACATTTGCAAACGCGCTGCATCCTGGAGCGAATGGCGCGTCTGCCAGCCTCGGTATCATGTTTCCTCATCAGCTGGCCAGCCAACCCTTTAGGCCCGTGCAGAGCACCTTCCTTCAACGGTTCCTCCCCGCTCTCGGACCATTCCCGTGAAAACTTTTCCCCGAAGTGTATATCCTGCGGGAGAGAGTACACGTTTCTTATATTTTCTTAAACAACATTAAAAACTTAACGCTAAGAGAGTTTCAAGATGCGCCGAGAAGACTTCAGACAGACATCAGGAGTCGAATGTTCTCTAGGGATACCTCTCTTTCGAATTTTTTTTTTTTTTGCATCATCCGACTTCCCTTCGTTTTGCGGCGACGACCACGAGCTCAGAATGGCCGTGGAGATTAAGCGAACAGGTCCTAAGCCTGCCGAGGAGATTTCGCGCGGGTCCTTAAAGACCCCCAGCTTTGAAATTTCCGAGGCAGCTTTACGTGCGATTCATGGTTACGAATGCATGGTACGCGATGTATGTATAAGTTTCATGCTGAATGTTTCGAGCTGAACAAAGCATATCATCAAAACGCATATCATCAAAGACGAGCGACATAACTTTATCGTGATATTTTAATATACATGATATTTAAAAAATTCTATTTTGCTATATTTTATATAAAGTAACTTTAACGTTACTTTAATATTTACGTAATAATAAAATATTAAAGAGGGTAATATATTAAGAATAATATTATATTATTTTTTTATAAACTTACAAAAAGAAGAGCATGAAACCACAGCACAAGATATTGTTTGTGATATTTAATATATCATTATATTAATAAAAAAGATTTATGTAAAAAATTTATGTAAATTCTGCGTTTTACTGATATTTATTATTTTACTGAAGATGGCCAGATTGTGGCCGAAATGTCTAAAAATGTTTTATTAATGTAATGATACATTAAATATCACAAACACAATATCTTGTGCTGTGATTTTATGCTCTTCTTTTTGTAAGTTTTAATTTATAAACTACGTTTATTATAATTATATATTTTTATTTTTTTATATTAATATTTCATCTGAGTGTTTTATATTTAATATTTTTTGTTTTAATAGTATCGCCATCGCCGTTTCCGGATGTTTTTCGATACATGTCGGCAAATCAAGATTATATCGTGTCCTCTTTGCTTTCGCTGTCAGATATTGTCTAAACGTAATCCTTCCCTTCGAGTATCTCCTTCTCTCTCTCTCTCTCTCTCTCTCTCTCTCTCTCTCTCTCTCTCTCTCAAATAGCATCATGTCGACGCTGTAGTCAAGTCACCAAGGGTCTTCGATAGCATCCTGTCGGTATGATAAATAAATCCTGTATTCATTCTTGTGCGCGTCAAAATAATCGCAGTGATTAGAACTGGTGAGACAGCGTGTTTCGATCTTCCAATGTCGCTTCGATTATCAGAAAAAATTTCGCATGCATATTTTTATACAACAAATTATTGCAAGTAATTCATTATTTTTCTTTTTTGAGACATTTACTTTGATATTTTATTTTCATATTTTATTTCAACCATATAAATAGTTATTTAATTAATAATTATTAAAATTATTAATATAATTTAATAATATAATCCAATAAAATTATTTATATAAAAATTACTTATATTAATACATAAATATGTACATAAATTACATTAATTA